TAATTTACATTTGCAGTTCCTAATTGCACTCCGATGGACTGACACAGGCCCTGTAACAAGGGACTCAAGCATCTTGAAGATGGTAAAGATGGCACAGGATAGGGCAAGGTTCAGTTCTCTGGTTCATAGGGTCACTATGAGACATGGTCCACTTGATGGCACCACACAGCAACAACAATGGTAAAGTAAACTTTCTAGATGATACACATGGTTTATTTGCTCAGCTGCTATACTGAAAGGTTGGGGGTTTGAGTTCACCTAGTGAAGCTTCAGTAGAAAGACTTGATGATCTACCTCTGAAAAATATACCATTGAACTCTGTGTGGGCTCACCTATGAGTCAGAATTGATTTGACTGAAATTAGTTTTTTTTCTTTTCCCCCATAGTGTCCGAAATAGTACCTGGGGCATAGTAAATGAGAAGCAAATGTTTACCAAATGACTAAATCAAGAATTATGACTTAAACAGTGTGAGTGCATTTTCAAAAGCCTGAGATCAGAAAACCTGTTTTCAGAATTTAGCCTTCAGTTCCACCATTTAAAAAAAAAACAACACACAAACTATGATCCAGCTTTAGTTATAATTTCTGGGAATTCTTTTTGTTGTTGGAAAGTGGACACAATTATTTCTTATTAAATAGTGTTTTAAACAAAAATCAATTCAGGGTGAAGCAAGGATCTAGAAGTATAACCAAAGACTACAGAATTCATCAGAGTAAAGCTAGGAAGAACTCTAGAAGCCTAATCCACAGCATGAACAGTTTTGCAAACATCCTGAGAAACTTATAAGCAAGAGAGAATAGATGAGATGACTGAGACCTTCTAAGAATCAAATCCTTATGCACATCAAAAATTGCTCCAACAGGGTAAGAAGGAAACCCACAGCCTGGGGACAATGACATATCTGATAAGGGATTTATATCTAAAATTTATGGAATACTCCAGCGCCTCATCCACCAATCTTGACCTCACATTTCTCCTCATAGAGCCCAGCCTCCTGGATAATCTGTTCTGCATACAGGTTGAAAAGGTATGGAGATAGGACGCACCCCTGGTGTACGCCCTTCCCAATTTTGAACCATGCCATGTTCCCTTGTTCTGTTCTGATGACTGCCTCTTGGTCCAAGTATAGGTTTCGCATTAGAATGATCAAGTGTTCTGGGATTCCCATTCTTCTCAAGAGTCAGCCGCAGTTTGTACGTGATCCACACAGTCAAACGCCTTTGCATAGTCGATGAAACACATATACATTCCTCTGGTATTCCCTGCTTTCACCTAAGATCCATCTAACATTAGCAACAATATCCCTAGTACCACGACCCCTTCTAAACCCAGCCTGGACTTCTGGTAGTTCTCTCCTGATGTGCTGTTCCAGTCATTTTTTTCAGTAAAATCTTGCTTGCATGTGAAATCAATGAGATTGTTCTGTAGTTTCCAGACTCTGTTGGGTCACCTTTCTTTGGGATGGAAACAACAATCTGCATTATGCAGATGACACAACCCTGCTTGCTGAAACTGAGGAGGACCTGAAGTGCTTGATGTAGAGGATCAAGGACTGCAGCCTCCAATGTGGATTGAGGCTCAATGTCAAGAAGACAAAGATTCTCACCACTGGGCCAATTGGCAGCATCAGGATGGATGGTGAAGAGATTGAGATTGTCCACAGCTTTAGTTTGCTTGGCTCCACAGTCAACACTCTTGGCACCAGTAGCCAGGAAATTAAAAGGCACATTGCCATGGGAAAGTCTGCTGTTAGGGACCTCTCCAAAGTACTGAAGAGCATTAGTGGCTCTCTGGAGACTAAGGTGCATCTGATACAGGCCATGGTCTTTGCAATCACTTGTTATGCATCAGAGAGTTGGACAATAACCAAGGAGGATAGAAGGAGAATTGATGCCTTTGAGCTGTGGTGCTGGAGAAGAGTACTGAGACATGGACTGCTAGGAAAACAAACAGATTTCTCCTGGAAAGGGTTAAACCAGGTGGCTCCTTGGAGGCAAGGGTTCTGAGGCTCTGTCTGACATACTTTGGGCATGTTGTAAGGAGAGACCAGTTCTTGGAGAAGGACATCATGCTTGGGAGGTTGGAGGGACAGCGCAGGAGGGGAAGGCCCTCTATGAGGTGGATTGAGTCAGTGACTGGGATAATCAGGATGGGAGTGTCAGACAGTGCAATTGGCACTGGACAGAGCAGAGTTTAGGGCTCTTGTACATCGGGTCACTATGAGTCGCAAGCGACTCGATGGCACATAACAACGACAACCAGCGCCTCAACAAGAAAAAGTTAAACAACCCAGTCACAAAATGGGCAAAGAGTATAAATAGACACTTCACTAAAGAAGACATTAAGATGGCCAACAAACACATGAAGAATGCCGAAAATCCCCAGGTATTAGAGCAATGCAAATCAAAGCAACTATGAGCCAGTATAAAATAACTTTTTTAAAAGCTCACAAACAACTAAGAGATATCTGCTCACCTCAGCAACAGTAGCAATGTTTGACATGCCAGCAAACAACAAATACTGACTGGTGAGGTTTAGAGAGCTGGTGGGAGTGTAAAATAGTACAGCCACCATGGAAGGCCATCTGGCATTTCTCAAAAAGTTGGAAATAGAAATACCATAACCTAAAGAAACTAGAGGCAAACTCAAAAGAGATACATGCACACCCATGTTTATTGCTGCATTATTCACAATAGCAAAGAGATGGCACAGGATCAAATGCCCATCAACAATTGGATGGCTCGAAAAACTATGGCACATTCACACAATATAATATTACACAACACTGGAAAACAGTAAACTTGTAAAACATTACACAACATGGGGGAAGCCTGGAGGACATTCTGTTGAGTGAAATAGTCACAAAAGGACAAATAGTGCCTAACACTACTGATATAAAATAGAACAGATACGGGGAGTTTGAGGAGAGAACGGGAAAAGAGTGGATAGATAATTAGCACTGCTTTAGATCAGATGAGGGGAAGAACTGTCCGAAAGAAATACATGACTAGACATTGTGTAAATTATAACAGTCTGGAACAAGGGGTGCATTGCAGGGAGGGCCTGAAGAAGGGGGAAATGAGAGGGAAAGAAAATGTACAACATAATTTGGCTAAGCATGACAGTCAAATCATATGTTGGTGCTAGTACTTACAGATACCCTTAGAGAGAAATACTGTGTTAATAAATAGACTGAAATGGCAGCCAACACAATCAAGCCTTCCTCTTACTTCCAGTCTTTGCTGCAAGCTGAAGCCAGCATTTTGTCCTTTGGCTGACGACAACAAGCTCATTTGAAACATTGAGCCAACAAATATTATGTACCTTCTTTCTTTTTTTATTTAAAAGTATGCTAGAAGGGCCTGTTGTTGTTATGTGCTGTCGAGTTGCTTGCGACTCACAGTAGCCCTATGTACAAGTGCCCTAAACCCTGCTCTATCCTGTGCCAACTTTATTGCCTCTGACACACCTACCCTGATTACCCCAGTGACAGAATCAGTCCATCTCATCAAGGACCTTCCTCTCCTGTGCTGTCCCTCTACCCTCCCAAGCATGATGTCCCTCTAGGGAGAAATAAAATTCAAGAAAATAGCAACCTAAACTTAGAAATGCCAAAAACTTAGGTCTAGCTGAAAGAAGTAATAATTATCTGGCTGTTTACTAACTGGTAAATTTGGTTTCATTCAGTCCAAAACTTGTGCTTGCAAGGACACTAATAAGATAACATGACAACCTATAGAATGGAAGAAAATATTTGCAAATCATATAGCTGACAAGGGTCTAACATCTAGATACTCTTATAACTCAATAACAGCAAAAAAAAAGGCACATGTTAAAAAATGGGCCAATGCTTTGACTAGACATTTCTCCAAGGATGAAGTACAGTTAATAAGGACCTGAAAATGCATTCTGCTTCATTAGTCATTAAGGAATCACAAATTAAAACCTCCATAAGGTACTGCTTCATACCCACTGCCCTCCCCACTGGTTGCTGTGGAGCTCATTCCAACTCCTGGAGACTGTCAAAGTAGAACTGTATTTCTTAGAGTTTTCAGTAGTTGCTTTTTAAGAAACAAATCACCATCATTTCGTTCCAGATCCTTAGAGTCGACTTGAACTGTCAGCCTTTCAGTTAGTGGTTGAGCCAGTTAACTGTTTGAATCACCAAGAAACTCCCTTAAATGGTCCAGCCATGGTGACAAATAGCAGTTTCTCAGATGCATTTGGGCATAAAGTTTCCTTATGAACTACCGTTCAGTTCCTTAGGGTTTGTATTTGGTAGAATTAAACACAAGTTCACGCATAACTTGTACATGAAAGTTTATTACACTAATATTCAAGATAGAAAGTGAATTAACAAAATATTCATCAGTGGACTAATGAATAAACAAAAGGTAATATAACCATACAATTGAATCAGACACCTCAAACTGTGTAAGTGAAAGGGGGAGTTACATATTATATGATTTCACGTTCATGAAATGTTCAGACTAGGCAAGTTTAGGATAACAAAAAACAGATTGGTGATTGCCAGCAAATAGGAGGTGGGTTAAGAAGTGTGAGGTTTATTTATTGAGATGATGGACGTATTCTGGGATAAGATCATTGTGGTAATTCCAGCAACATTGTAAAAGGACTAAAAACCACTGAGTTGTTCACTTCAAAATGGTTAAAATGATGGATTTAATGATATAAATGTTAACTCAAAACCTTTTTTAAAATAGGCGAGCTCTGATGGCCTAGTGGCAGGAAACTGCACTGTAATCCCAGAAGTGCACGGTTCAAATCCACCAGATGCTCTGCTGAAGATGGAGGAACAGTCGCCTCCTGTACCAGTCAGATCCAATTTGACGGTACATGCATATAAAAAAACAAAAAAAACAAACCTTTTTTAAAATAAAGATTATGTGGTACAATTTGAAAGTCTACTTTTTGATTAAAAATGGTATTTTTAGTTTGAAGGCTTCTACAGCTAAATGTATTGTCATCTTTCTCCAGGATGCAAGGAAAGCATGCAATGATTCAACGCTTAGTCAGGTAATATAATTTTTTTTCTATTTTAATAATTCACATGAAATAACTTGACCCTGAATGCTAATAGTACTCAAGTTCTTTTTTATTAGTATTCAATTTCAAAATTAAATAAGCTCAAGCTCGAATTAAATGGATTCAAGGGAACTCTGGTGGCAGAGTCTATAGTGAGTTGCTCTGCAAACACAGAGCCCCTGATGCTCCTCCAGGCGTTCAGACCCACCAGCAGCTCCAGTGAAGGAAGGTGGGAAGTTTCCTCTTGTGATTTGCAGTCTTGAAAACCCAAAGGAGTATCAGTTATGATGTATTTCCCGTGAAAATCCAGTGAAGACTGAACAGTACCTAACCACAACAAATATGTACTTCTGTAGTTCCTCATTTAAAAGAAATGTGTGTGTTCTCTAAACATTTTTCCCCTTACATAAGCACATAGTAAAGTTTCATTAGTTTGATTAATAACTACTTTTCTCTAAGGAAAAGCTCACCGGTGGCATAGTCAGTAGAGAATTGTGGTGCTAACCCAAAGGTGGCACTTTTTCTGGTGTTTCATTGGATACGAGTAGCTCCATGGAAGAAAGATGAGCATTCCCCTTCCAGAAAGATGTACACCTTCCCAAACCCAACACTCATGTGTATTGCTACATTACTCACAGCTGCAAAGAGATTGAACCCAGGTACCCATCAACAAACAAGTGGCTTGAAAAACTGTAGTACATTCACACAGTAGAATATTGTGCAGCATTAAAAACAACTTGTAAAAATATTACACAGGTGGGGGGAGGAAGAAAATTGTGCAATATGAAATTTTTTTTCCAAAGAAAAATGAACTGGGGTGGGTAGGGAGGAAAATGTGCAACAATGTATGAATGGAAATCCAAGTTCTCTGTAAACTTTCCTTAAAATTCTAATTATAAAAAGGTGTAAAAAAAAAGTTACACAACATGAATGAGCCTGCAAGACATTATGCTGAGTGAAATATCTCAGTCACAAAGGGACAAATACTAAATAACACTGCTGTTCTAAAATAAGACTGACGTGAGAGGAATGATGGGGTGAGTAGGATATGAGTAAATAGATAATGAACACTGCATTGGAACAGATGAGGGGAAGAAAGGAATAGATGGTTAGGCATTATATAATGCATGACAACAAGCTGGAACAAGAAGTGCATTGCAAAGTCAGTTGGAGAGGGAGGAAATGTACAACAATGAGTGAATAGAAAACAACCACCATAATAAAAAGTTGTTTTACCCCAGCACTATTCATTGTAAAAGAAGGATTTGCTATAATACATTTCCCAAGAATAAAGGTTTAAGCCTAAAAAAGACAACACATGTTCATAATCCATTCAACAGCAGTGGGTTTTGAGTTTCATAACTTTACTGAAGTTGACGGTCACATTTTCCTCTGGAGTGGCTGGTGGATTTAAACCTCTTGACCTTTTTTTGTCTCAAAGCAAGTGCTTTCTGTTTTACAATCAGGGCTCCAAGTCTTATAACCAACTCAAACCCAAATTAACTGCCGTCAGGTTGCTTCTGACTGGTGGAGACCATTCTTCAGAGGCTGTAAATCTTTAAGAAGCAGCTGGTGGATTTGAACCAGTGACCTTTTGGTTATCTGACAAACTTGCAATGCTCTATGCCACCAAGGCTCCTTAGCTTCCTTACAGACACTTAAAATGATACCTATTTCACTCTTTGATCATCTATTATCAGATTTTTCTTTAAGGTCATTTAAAATTAATCATGCTTTGCTTTTTTGATCAATGTATGGATCCTGTAACAGCTCTGTAAAATTATTTATCTCAAATTACATTCAGTAAGATTTCTTTATGTCTGTATTTTTCCTCAACTAATTCTTAGTTCTAAGTTGTTTTTGAACTAAGGCTCATATAAAGTAATAAATTTTTATTACTTTCTAAAGATCACATCAAATCTGGAGTCAGTGGGCCGGATACAAATGCGAACAAGACGTACTCTGAGGGGTCACCTCGCTAAGATTTATGCTATGCATTGGGGGTACGACTCAAGGTTTGTACCTGTTGTTTTCAAAGGAGCAACATAACTTTACATGGTTTACTTTTGTGTTTCATTTGTTTATAAACAAATTGCTTATGAAATGTTTGCCTTCACTAATAATATTCATTGCTACTTTAAATGTTTTTAAATCTTCTCTATGGAAAGTAAATATGCCTCTCAAAAATGTTCATTATTCATGCCCTGGTATGTTATTTGGCCTCAAAGAGAGATGAAGCCTTGATGCGTGCTGTAGCATGGGTGAAACTTGAAGACATCAAGACATTATGCTGATAGTAGTAAACAGGAATGAAAGTTCTTGTGAGGGTGCAGTAAATTAAAGAACCAACAACTACTTGAAGCTTTTTCTTGAGGAAGTTTAAAATAATAGTCATTTGCCCATTGACAGAGCAAATCTTTAACTGAAAATATAATCACTTGGGGGGAAAATGTTAAATGATTCTGATTTCCCTACATCTTCATAGAAAAATATCAAGGAACCTGGCTTACGCCAAACTTCATCCTCATTCTGATTATCACCTGATTACTGACAGTTCTGCTCACCTCATCTGCTGACGATTCCATCTGATACGTAAATCATTTCTTACCCCACTATCAGTTCTTTCCTTTCATTTAAAAGTTCTGCTTTCCGGGAGAGGATATAGATAGCTGAAGGATAGGGAAAAGAGATGTTTTGAATGGGGATTTCCCCCCACACCCACACACACACACACACACACACACACACACACACTAGGTTTGTTACTTTGATATATTTAATACCAAAGTGAAAAATAAAATTTGAAAATATGAGTGACTACTAATACTTAGTCAAGTCCTTATTTCTTAGCATAACAAGTAGAACTGTCTACAGTGAGTTTAGCTTGCTTTTCTAAACTTTGTGCAAATTCCGTACAGCTGGGATATTCACACTTCCTGGAATACTCATTGTACTTTTCTATTTCTTGTTATCAGTCCTACTTTATTCTCCACTTAAGAAAACAGACTCCTTAAAATTTTGTTTCTAAGATGTATTCCCTACTAACAGGTTTTTGTTGATTAATTCACCTAGCCATTACCCTCTTTTCTTTTTTAACTTGTCTTTTCATTTTTACTCCACTCTTCTGATATGCTTCCCTTGCATGAATTATTATAAATAAGTGTAAATGACTCTTCTCTACCATGTACCAGAATGAGTCTCTAGAGCAGAAGGTGTCCTACGTTACATCTATAATTGATGTTTTTGGAGTGAATGAAATAGGACTGTAAGGCTTTTACATGCTCTGTTGTCATTAACATTTGTTAAGGACTAGACCATTCAGCTAATATCTACCAGAATCCTATGTTGCCAAAGTGGAAAAGTTGAATCATTACCAGAGATGTTTTCAACCTGTAGATAAATTATATGTTAAAAATTTTCGGCATGCCACCTTCTTTTTTTTTTTTTTCATTCTGGGCAATGTTTTGTTGTATCAAATTATTGATTAGAAAAACTGTTTTTCAGTTCTGAACTATTACACTTTGATGCAATGTATAACTAATTTAATCTACCTTTTTTCCTCTAAGTATCAAATATTTTTACATGTGTGTTTTTCCTCTAGGCTGCTGGTCAGTGCATCCCAAGATGGAAAGTTAATTATCTGGGATAGCTATACAACAAATAAGGTAGAATTTCAGCATCATTCTTTTAACCTGGCATTTGGGTTTCCATCCCCCGGTTCTTCCCTTTACTTCAAACTTGTAATTTCCCCCTAGGAGATATTTTTTCTATTTCTTTTCCTTTAAATCCTCTTTTTCAGCTTAGTGCTTTGTTACTTCCAAAGATAACTACAATATTACATATTTGGATACTAGAAAGGATGGCAAAGCATTTTTACTTATGAATGATTTTCTTTTGCATTTCCCATTCCTAGTGTGATGGTGATCCTGAGTTTTTCTTGCTAGTTGTGGGTTAACCAAATGGCTGGTATTACGCATGTCTTTGGTGCCCTCAGAGATGGACTTGAGTTTCTGGAGAGCTTCAATAGTGCAGTACTTTGGAGAGATATTAGACCTTGTTTAGACTTTGAAGTGGTGGCAGATTATGGATTCTCTATGACTACTGGAGGGAATCACTGTTGAGTGATCATGAAAGAGCTTCAGGAATACTTCCACAAGTTTAGATTTTGTACATACTTTTTACACTATTTTCTTAAGCCTTTGGAAATACTATTTTGTGAAATGAGCAATAGCATTGGCCTGGTGGAGATTTCCTAGCTAGCCAAGACAATGTAATCGAGCTATCTTTCTAAGTAATCAGAATTCAACCTGTAGCTTGTGCTTGAAATAAAAATTAATGCTAGTGCTCTTGAAGTGTTAGTTTAGATTCGGTGAGAGCACAGTAGTAATTACACAACGTGTTGATTTCCCACACGGGCAATTTATCCTTGCTATTCAGGAACAGATTATCTTTTGCCATGTGACCTGCCAGCGATTGGTGTTGGGTAACGAGACACCAGACAGTGGTCTGATTAGATCAGTGCAAAACTGTTGCTCTGGTTTGGATGGGATCCCAGAATGTGCGCCCTATTAATAGAAGGATAGTAGTGGCATCTCTTTGTGGAAGAACTATTTTAATTGACTGATACTTATTAATTGCCTTCTTTTTAATTGTTTGTTGTTGTATTAGAGGAAATGCCTGTTTGAGCTCTGCTGTAAAACTACAGAATTTTGTAAAAAATCTTTAATGTGCCACACTTAATTTTTTGAATGGCTGTATTAGCATTAAAACAATTCTGTGTTTTTGCTTTTATTTAAAGGAATAATTTTTTAAAAGAGTACATTTCTTTTAGTCTTTAACTTTTGTTCTTTATTTTCACTTCTCTCCTTCGCCTTTTTCTCCCCCTAAGTATTTCATTATGTCTTAGGTAAAGGTGTATGTGGCAAATTAGGTGCCCATTAACAGTTTTTGTGCTGATTGTTCTGGTTTTCACAGTGTGATGGCATTCTCGACTTATTTTCAGTGCCGTCATTTCCTATTTGTTGTTTCCATTGGTCTGTAGCCCTCCTGCCCCTCCTTGCTCTCTCATCTTTCCCTTTAGGTAAATGTTGGCTGTTTGGTTGTGTGGAGTCGCTTGTTGAAGGAGCATTCCTCCCATGTCGAGGTGGTTACTTTACAAGCAGATCTGTTATTTGGCTGGAAGAAAGGTCAGCGTGTGGCTTCAGGTCCAGGTTACCTTAGGGTGATAGTCTTGGCATTTCTTCTAGTTT